CTTCTTCGAAGTGTTGGATCGGTGGTCTCCTTCTTCATCAGGACTTCCAGCGCTGCACTTCTGTGCGGGTGCTGAGCTGGCGCTGTTATCATTGGGGTTGCTGGTTCAGGTTGGCACATTGTGACAGCTGTGGGGTTACTGCTGCTACGGCAGCCATAGCCAGGGAGAGGTATGAGGTGACGAGGAGGAAGAAGAAGAATCCTGCATACTTCGTTGAACACTTGTTTTTTATTGTTCGGGGTTGTTGTAAACGCGGTTGTGATTCTTGGAAAAGTACTCTGGAGTGATTGGAGGAGGACAAGGGATTGCAGAACTGAAATTCGTTTTTCAATTCACTGTGTATTTTGAGCTTCCACTGTGCATATATTCTCTCCGGTTTTGTGTGGATTTGCCTCCTTCAAGTCTACTCTGCAATTGCATGCGTGTATGGGAACGTGTGAATTCCTTGTGGATTGAAGTTCAATCGGGCACATAACATGTGTGTGTGTGTGTGTGTGTGTGTGTGTGTGTGTGTGTGTGTGTGTGTGTGTGTGTGAGAGAGAGAGAGAGAGAGAGAGAGAGACTTTTAAATCGATAGGATGAACAACGCACTGGCCAACAGGTAAGTCGCCAACCCCGCGGCTGGCCTCACGCTACTTGCACACACACGCACACACACACATGTAGTTGTGTATATTTCCATGTTCTAACGGAAGATTCATTCGATTTTGCTCATCCTATCGATGGAAAGAAAGAAAGAAAGAAAGAAGAGGTGTCAGAATAATTGCTCCGCACAGCAAATGAATGTGCGACATTTGGCGCAGCAGGACAACACACAGTTTCCCCTGTTGGATCATATGGTGTGAAGGGAGAAAGTTTGAAACGAAAAGCACAAACAAGTACCCCAGAATTTGAAGTGCAAAGAAACAGCCCATTAGGCTTGCAACAGGGGCCAAGTCTCACTAGCAGCGTTGAGTTTCCTCAACGCACGAATCTGGACGTGTTTGTGGAGACGTGGGGAAAATCGCGTTGAATGTCCTCAACTGCACATCTCCACAGACACGACCAGATTCGGGCACTGAGGAAACTCCAGGCTGCTAGTGGGACTTGGCCCCAGGACAGAACTGCCTTCTTCCCTGGAACACAACCCAGGGTCCCTGATCTGCAGGGGGCGTTTTTTAACTTCAAAAAAAAAAAAAAAAAAAAGAGGTCCCTGATCATGAACGTATACAAACCATCTTTTTGGGGGCGATACATGATGGTGAGGGTGTTCGGGACGAGATTGTAACGCACGGTCCATGATAATGAATGTAAAGTTGTAAACAAATCATCTTTCCCGGGCGATATGGTAATGATGAGGGTGCAATGTGTTCGGGAATCGGGACTAGACGGTAGCAGTAAGGTACCAATGGTATGGGAGCTGACCTGGATGCATAGACACGTCAGTGCACAACAATCTCCACCTGGACATCACATTGCCCAGGTGCATTCTGGGAGGGCTCGTGTTGTCCTGTGGGATGATAGTAGCACCAGGCAGGACACGTGATAACACCCACGTGCAAGGGCAGGCACCCAGGCGCAACATGATCTGCGGCACCTGCAAGGAGATCCCACTAGCCATGGATAGGTGTGACCGATGTGGGACGGGGGGAGGACGGGTAGGTGGCAGCGTGAAATAGGGAAAATAAAAAAGGAAAAAGAATTTCATGACAATGAAAATGACGAGAAAAATGCTGAGAAAAAGAAAAGAAAGTGCTCTTCCCACCCATCGTGTCTCCTCACGTCTGCGTGTCAGATGTCAGGGTATGATTCACTGACCTTGCCTTCGCCGTGAATCAAACGTGCTAAGATTTGAGTACGAAAAAAAATTGAGACCGTTGCAAGACCACCACAACAACAAAAAAGGAGAAGCCGGCGAAGCCGCCCAGTAAGAGAGCAAAGAAAAACGTTATTTTCACATGCATTCTGCGCGAAGACGGGATGCTGCTGGTTTCTGGACGAATCCATGATGGATGACAGTCGCACAGCGCCGGCACTAGTCCAAATACATGGCTAGTGGAACCTCGCTCCTGTCCTTCCTCTGAGTGGATCAGTGATTACTGAGCAACGTGTGTTTAGGGCATCATGCCGCTGGTTTCTGGCTGACAGTCGCACAGCATCCCCACTAGTCCAAATACATGGCTAGTGAGACCTCACTACTCTCCTTCCTCCGAGTGGATCAGTGATTACTGAGCAACGTGTGTTTAGGCCATCATGCCCTGATGCCATACACGGACGGCCTCGAACCGGCACCCTCGTGCACAGGAACGAAGTATTGTAGGCACTACAACCCTTGGAGGTGTTATAAAACTGAATCCATACCCGTCATGATATCCAGCCCACCTCCAGGGCTATAGCATCCTTGAACTCACACCACACACACACACCACACCACGGACTCGACAATCCACACACACTGCACTCGGACAACACGCAGCTCACCACCGCTACTTAACCCAGTCACACAAAGATGATGAAAGATTTGAGAGAAGAATATAGCGTAGTTATAAAAGCCACATCCGTTAAAATTGGAAGGATGCAGAGAAGATTAGCATGGCCCCTGCACAAGAAAAAAGAGGAGTAAGCTCAGTAGGGAAACAAAAGAAAAAAGAGAAAGCTACGGCACACTCAGGGTTTGCGTTTCAAAATGCACTTCCACGCAGAAAAAAAAGTGGAACCGCACACGCGCTAGCGCAGCGGTAACACTGCGCTAGTGCGTTGCTATTACGATGCGCGGGTGGTGGGGGATCGCACGGGGGCAGCTGCAGATAAGCTGCACTTAGCCAGAACTTGCTGTTGCGTATGGCGGTCCTGGAGAGGTGATAGAGTGTGTGGGCGCTGAGGTGGAGGCCGCTTCGAGGGGGCACAGCCGTGCACCTGCCATAGCCCGATCTGTTTTTTTTTTTTTTTTTTTGAACAATTGTTCCAATCTATTGGCCAATGAGTTTTGGTAATTCTAGATTGGCCGCAGAAAGAAGAGGAGATGTGGGTTGGTCAACGCGCAAGATCTGCCCATCGTACATATCAGTAGTATCACCTGATCAGGGGCTTTGCCCTCTGATTACAGATATGGAACATCATCGTATTGCAACGGCAGTCACAGTTTTATATGTCCGAAGAGCTGGAGATGAAGGACAAGAGTGCATCGACAAACGTTGACTTTCGGAAGTGAGAGAACGGACTTCATGCCACGACCATTATCGCCCACCGTCGCTGACAACGGGTTTCAAGCTGCGACCGGGGTTGTGAATTGTTTCTTAAGCTCCTAGCATCGGGCGTGGTATTGCTCATGATTCTCTTACCTTTGGTGCTTTCAAAGACTCTTCATCGTGTTTATAGATTCTAATCATTTGGCTGTTTCTTCTCAGTATAGAATAGTACCAATCACAGTTGTTTGGGAACTTTGGGGTGTATAATTAGTCTTTGAGGACTGGTAATTTGTTGACTTTGTTTGTCGACAATTAGGTTAGCGATACTCGCTAGGTAGGATTGGTGCTCATTACGATCGTGATTCTCAGAGATTGGCGAAGATCTGCTACCTTGTTGCTGGTTGACGGTGTTAATTAGAGGTATACAGAATGTAGACACTGTAGAGTGTGAATTTTGTGAATGGTTGTTGCCCGTGGGTTGGTCCATTACCTGGGTTGCTGATTTGGATTTTAGTTGGGGTTGCTGATTGGAGGTGCATAGGGTATAGAGTTGGAACTTTGTGAATCATTTTGGGATTCTGTCCGTGGGTGATTACTAATTAGGATTAAATCATTAACAAACTTGTTTTTGTGCTTTTGGTTGGTGATTTGTTATGTGGCTTGGATTTTGTAGATTAGGGTTGCTTAATAATGGCGGTTTGGAGAAGGGGTGGATAACCATGGATTAGGATTTTGGTTTCTTAAATTAGGGAACGAGATTTTTGTTTTAGGGTTGGGATTGGGATTGGGATTGGGATTGGCTGTCGTGACCTTGTGGGGCTGCGGTAGGGATAGGTTTGGCCGAGAGTGCCTTGCTTAGCCCATTTGGCCGCAGCAAATGATGTAAGGGACACCGGGTCCGTTTCCCGGTTATATGATATCTGCTTTGTTCTGTAAAAGAAAAAAGAAAAAATGAGAAAAAAAAAAGGCCTGAAAATGTTGAATGTATACAAGCTACCTTTCGGGTCCGGTGGGGTCACGTGGGGGTGTGTTATGTTCGCGGCATTGCCTGAAGTGCATTTTCAAACTGTTTTCATGACTGCACCATAGTTACTCCAAAAAAAAAAAAARGRWTYMAAAAAAAAAAAAAAAAAAAAGAAGCTGGATGATTTCCATCTTCCTTCTCACCATAACGGTGGCTTTCACAATTTCTTCTTCCTCCTCCTCCTCCTTTGGGAGTCCATTTTTGTTCTCCTCTCTCCCAAACACTTAAAGACAACTTGAACAGCCTAATAGCCAACTGCGGAAGGTGGCTGTCATAGGGCGTCGTTAGACACTCCTCTGGGACAGGATTCCAAGGATTTTGTCGTCGTTCCACCTGTCCTCGGAGCCGATTTTCGAAAAGAAAATGTGAAAACATTCCAAGGACAAATCCTCAGGCTCTGAGGATTCCCCAGGCAAATCTTCCTCAGCTCCAAGGGACCTCGCGAAGTCCTTTGGAGCCCGAGGATCCGCGATTCACGGGGTGTTGGCGTCGAGCGTAGAAGGAAAATTGGAGGCCAAAGGTGGTCCAGTCGTGATCCAGGGGCTGGGCCACAGACATTGCCGGCCTTCAACGTCATGGACGCCCTCCAACGCCCTCGTCCGTTTACCATTGGCGTTGGATGGAGGCGGGGCGCTTCGTCATTTTCAGCCACCTCCCAGACGACGCCCATAGTCTGCTGGCTTCCAACCTCTACAACAACCTGAACTTTTCCAAAAACAAAAAAAAAAAAACAGACAAGTTGAAGAAAGGCAGAGCCGTTGCGGTAATACATATGGGGGAAATGGGCACCAAAAAAAAAGGGGGCAGGTGGTGGGATATGCAAAACCTTAAGCACAAATTTAGGGGATGTGGGTGCAAACCTTTAATGGAACTAACCTATTTGGGGCCATTCAGTGTCCTCTAGGGGAGGCTCCCTTCCATTGAGGAGATCTGCATAGTACACAGCCTCCTGTTGAATAGCCCCTGCCACAACTTGGAGATAGACTATTTGATTGTCTATTGCCAACTGCGCGTTCTTAAGCCGTGCATTCAATTCCTCCACAAACTGAGCTTCATGGTGGACCTGCATCATTCAATGTTTTCACCATAATTATTATTTCCACCTCCTTTTTCTTTTTTTCGACAAACACATCTACAGAGGTGTAAAATGTAGTAGAGTCACAAAAACGAGTTATAATTGCACTATGGGGCAAGATAACGTTTGCAATTGCACTTCCGGCACCCTACCTGGCCAGAAACCTGGGTTGTATACATTGCCCGAACAGCGATTCGAAACTGTATCTTGGTCCATAGTGCAATTATAACTCATTTCTGTGACTCCCGCTTAGTTCCCCAAGGGTTTATGTCACTTTACGATCTTTTATGGAGTAATAGAATTTGAATTTTGAGCAACACACACACAAAAAAAAGGGGAAACTGTGGCTGTGACACACTTGTAGTTTGAAATAGGCAAGAAAAAAGGACAAAGTGGCGCTGGTGTCATGGTGAGAGTTTCAAAATGTGCACGTGTAGCGGCCGTCTAAAACTGCACCAGTCATTACCCGCAGTGGCGCTTGGCAGATTTAGGGTGTCGCCTTTTTTGTCCCATTTCGGGAACTGCGAAAGTACCCTATTCTGAACGTTGGGGGTGTGGTTTGCTAGGGCCTTTGCCATAATCCTGTATGCTACCCAGTAGACATGTAATTGGCCTACAGTCCCAAAAAAAAAAAAAAAAAAAAAAAAAAAAC